ACAGCGATACTGGTTGTGTTCCTCTTCACTGCTGGGTTGTACAAATTACCTCCACTCCGAACCCCTAAAATATTTGTGCTATTCATATGTTTGTCTGGAGCTGTTGGAGTGTTGGTAACATCATTGATTATGGGGCAGTGGTCACCTCTGTGGCTGTTTGAAATCATATCTGCAAAACCTGGCAGACAGATTTTGATGGCTTGGTGGTCACTTCTCAGTGTTTTATCTGTGGTCATCACCATAATAGCTAAAAGGTTAGTTATGCATATTTTACTTTTTACATGTTCACTTTCATGCTCTGACAGATGGAAGATGAAGTGACAACAGCAAAATATTCCTTGTACTTTAGTCTGAAAATTCCCAGAAAAATCCTCCATAAGACCCAGATTTTTCTACTCAAATATAGATTTTTATATTTGGGAAACAATTTCCCCGAAAATTCATAATCTAATGAAGAAAAATAGAACATCTAGAGAAAGACTCAAAGCCCTTTATGTATTTATGTATATATCAATATGTATGTTTGTATGATTAATTTCTATGGTTACGCTTTGGAAATGTTGAGGCAAGGCTGCTTTGTTTATTTCTTAATTTCTTTTTCTTTCCTTTCCCTTTGTTTTCTGTTTCCTTTTCCTTTTCTAGTTCTTTCTTTTCCTTTACATTCCTTTCTGTTTGTTTCCTTTGCCTCTTCTTCTTTTTCTTTCTTTTTCTCTTTCTCTTTCTCTTTCTCCAAGGGAAAAGGAAAGGGGTTCTGATAAGGCCCTCAACAATTTGGACATTATAGATAGCATAGCTCAGGTTTGTTGAATGGTAGAATGAACTGTATGGTCTGATTATCTGAATCTGATTTTGGTTACTTTTAGTAAAGGAGAAACTACAATATGTTCACTTGATCAAATTCCAAATATCACTGCAGACAGCACAGAAAAACAGAATGCAATATGATGAACTAGGGGGGAATATTGGATATAGTCCATAGTTCTCTTAGGTTTCCACATGGCAATATTGGGAAGATTCTCAACAAATAATTTGAAACTGAGATGGTGGGCCCATAAATGTTACAATAGATGGTAATGCCTGTACTGTGTCATTTGCTGTCAGACCACCGCAGTTTGATAAAACTTCAGGTGAGATCTTTGGGGTGCCCAGAAGAAATGTTCTGCCCCTGTGCTCTTGACTATTTAGACTTCTACACAGTCATTAAGAATGAGATACTGTTACCTAACACTCTTCTTAGTGCTGCTATATTACTTACCACCCTTGAGTAAGGATGGTAACAATTGGAATAGAACCAAAATATATTCATGTATATAGGCCACTGGATAACAGATTTTTATTCCACTCTCTCCACAGTACATAGTAGAACTTCATTTACTACAGCATCAGTCAACAGTGAGGAGACACATGACCTCTTAATACCATCAATATGACCTCGCAAGCCTGCTGAATTATATTATCTAACAACCTGAGAATGGATTCCAAATTATCCAATTTTTTGTTCCATTGAATCTCCCATTTGATCTCCCCGATTTGCCCCCGATTTCCCCTGTTCCTCTTCAAGCATCCCTCCTGATGACTCGACTGCCATTGTACAAACAATTTGACAGATTTGCTTCATTGATGATAATTGTGAGGCACCTTCCACTTCCTCAGCTTCTCCCTCAGGAACTTCAATCCGATAGAGCATCTGCTGTGGTATTGAGCTTTCCTGGATGATACATAATTTTTGCCCCAAAGGATTAAGCAGTTAGAGCCCATCTCATAACTTGCATTATCATCCTTTGGCTTGTGGAACAACCAGTGAAGCGATCTGTTGTCAGACAGAACCACTACTTCCAATCCCCACACCAAGTGTTTAAATTTTTTTAAGGCTTCTTTAATGGCTAGAGCCTCCTATTCCATCGTAGTATGTCTACTCACAGCTGCCTGCAGCTGTTGGCTGTAGTATGCAATAGGGCAAAAATGGTCCCTATACCTTTGCAGAAGCACAGCACCAATAGCTCCTTGGCTGGCATCTGTACCAAGTCTTCCTGAAATCAGGTGCTTTAAGTACCGGTTCCATTACCAAGTTCTCCCTAAGAACATTGAATGCTTTTTCTTGTTCATCTCCCTAGACAAAGGATTTTTCTCCCAGAAGTTAACTTTGTCAGATCATTGCCTTTCTTGCTGTATCCATTGACAATTCTTTGATAATAGCCACTTAAGCCTAAGAATCTCTGTACCTTGAGAAATTTCTTACTGCCACTAACTTGTCTAGTGCAGGCTTCACATTCCCTTGTCCCACTCTATGTCCAAGACGATTAACCTCCTTTTGGAATAGGTGTGATTTCTCAGGACTGGCCTTCAGCCCATCTTGTATCAGTCTCAGTAAAGCTTCTGCCAATATGGATAAGTGAGTTTCAATGTCATCACTTTATATTGCAATATCATCAAAAAATAATGGCAATCCCTTACCAACCTAACCACTGAACACTGTTTATTAATCTCTGAAATGTCCTTGGGGCTTTGGACAATCCAAAAGGCATAACATTATACTCATATTGTCCTAGGTGCATAGAGAAAGTTGATCTCTCCTTAGAATCCTCATCTAGTGGTACCTAGTGATACCCACTCCTTAACCCCTTCATGACGGGTGACGCCGCTAGGCACGAAAATAAACCGCTCGAAAAGTGGTGTGCGGCTGTACGCCGCGGCGGTGCGCCAAAGTGTGACGAGCCAGTGATTCGGCCTGATGTACCGAACTCACGTGCTCAAAGTCGGCGCGCTGCCATGGTTCGCCAGAGCGTAGAGTTTTTTTTTTTTTTTTTTTTTTTTTTTTTTTTTTTTTCACACGTCACCATTGGGTTAAATCTAGTGTGGAAAACCACATACTTTGACTAACTTGATACAAGATATCTTCAATTAGAGGTAAGGGATAAAACTCTGGCCTCGTTTTAGCATTCAGAGCCTGGTAATCCATGCACAACCTTGGGTGAGAATTATCCTTCCTTTTCACTAAGACAATTGGAGCATTCCATTCCGATTGACCCTTATATGACCTTGATCCATCAAGGCTTGGACCTCTGCCTCCACAGCTGGTCATACTGCATAGGAAATAAACCTGGGGGAATATAAACCTTTCCTTCATTGACTGTCTCTTTGATGAGTAATCAAGTTTGTTTTCCCCAGTGGCTCCTCCTTCAAATTAAAGGCTACCAGAAAGTCTCGCAAAACCCTTTCTACGTCTTTCCTCTGGCTTGCAGATAATGCCCAATTATCAGCCCTTAATTCTTTCAATAATTTCTGAAAGCTATCCTCAGTGAGAATTGGATCCTGACCTACTTTCACCTGTTGAGGGTCGATCTAGAGTACCTGTTGTACTGGTGAAAGGTAATCCTTGCTACTTGGTACCGGGACAGTTTTCGAGGATCTGATACATTTTTTTCTGGAAAACTTCTTGTGACATAAGCAGACCAAATGGCATTCTGAGGTATATTTAGCAGCCAAAAGGAGTGTTAAATGTAGTGACAAATGAACTGGTTTCATCAAGCTTGACTGGCCAATAGCAATTCTTTGCATCAAGTTTCCTGAAAAATCTTTAATCTGCAAACTTGTGTGTGATTTCATCTTGCTTATGCATCTTACGATGGCTTCTCTTTATTTCTTTGTTCAAGGCTTTTGGATCTAAATATATGTGTAGACTGCCATTTTTCTTCATGGTGCAAACCATACTATTGACCCAATCTATAGGTTCTGACACCTTTTTGATAACTCCTATTTTTTTCCATATTTTCAAGCTGGTTTTGAAGTTCTTCCTTTTTGTGTACAGGAAATTTTCTTGGCGCATGGACAACCAGTTTTGAACCTTCTTTCAGCACTATATGGTATTTTCCTTGAAAATTCCCAATTTTATCAAACTGATCTGGAAATAATTTCTGTAAATCATCGACCAACTGGATAGCCATTGCTGTTTGAGGGCACACCCAAGTCTCATGAATTGTGACCTTGCCTAGGGCTCTCAGGCTTGGCTGACCCAAAATAATTGTTCTATTTCTTGGTTCAGAATGTAGAAGTCTGTATCGATCCAAGATGTCTCGTCAATTGTGCGGTTTAATTTAATTGACCCAAAATGCTTGAGTTTCAAATTGTTCACTGCAATCAGATTCTTTTAACAGTTGTTGGTCAGACAGGTTTTCGGCTTCCCATAAGCATCTAATAAATCTGGGCACATAATTTAAAATGCTCTTATCAGAAGCACGTTTGCTCTGGCCCCTGTATCAGCTTTGACTGTCATTGAGCCAGTCTTGTTGCTGGGGGTCCTGACTTTGATAGAGCTTCACTATCATTACTGTTTGACACCCAGGGCCGGATTAGGTGTGTGAGAAGCCTGGGGCCCAGTTGGAAGGGAGGCCCCTTTCCAATTTCCCTAGACTAGTAACCTTTGACTTTAACAAACTACTATAGGCCTACTATATAATGTGTCAGGAAAGCAAAAAGGTATTAAATAAAGACTAGTTTTTCAGTGATATAATACATTTAATATGTAATAAAGGTACATGGTATGTAATTAATAAACAAAATTTACGTTAAAAGAATTTACAGAAAAATAATTAAACAGAAAATTTACATCATATTTGTCATTTTTTACACCAACTGTCAATACATTTTAGTCCGGTCACTTTTCTGGATTTGCATGTAGCAAAATCGTGTATGATGTCTTTGAAATCAAATTCACTTAATATATCTGACTCTGTGCTCATGATCACTAGATTCACAAGTCGTATCTGCTTCATAGATGTCCGTAATCTATTCTCAATTAGTTTTAGTTTTGAAAAGGAGCGCTCACCACTGCAGTTAGATACCATCAAAACAAGGTATATCCTTAGAGCTATTTCAATATTTGGAAAAGTGTCCTACACACCCTTGTCAATAATAAGTCCATGCAAGAAATGCTCAGTGCTAATATTCCCTGGCTGCTCATCTGCGAATATGTTGACAAATGCGACAAACTGAATAAGTTCATCAGCCAAAGTTTTATCCAAGTCATCTGGATAAGACTTAAGTAATTGCTCTGCTGCAGCCTGAAGGTCGTCTGAAGATAGTTCTTTCAGGTGATTGAAGAAGCTAAATTTACTTGATATATCTTTATATGCCTGCATACGTTGATTTTCTGGTGAACAGATGCTTGCCAAACATCTGCCGAGCAATACCCGATGGGTTGGTCATTAAAAAATTTGGGGGTTTCTATATTTTGCGGAGGCCCCCTCTTGGTGGGTGGCCCTGGGCCCGAGCCCCTTCCCCCCCCCCCCCCTTAATCTGGCCCTGTTGACACCTCTGCTACTCGAAGAACTTACTGTGAAATAATCCTCGTTGGGGTCATCTTGGTTGAACTCGTGCACTGCAGATGTTCTGTTAGGATTGTGGGGAGTATTTATTGTGTGCTCACCCTCATTTGTTGCATGGTTTTGATACCCTTGCAAAATTTTGGTATCTTACAGCATCAACATTTCAGCTATAACATTACTAGTATTATGATGTAAGGTAGATAAAACAAATTGTAAATAAGGTAATTATGGTTGATCATATGACTCAAGCTCACTTGACATTGATGCTGAATAAATAATGCAAAGAAAGAGAACAAACTTGGATTCAGTATTATGACTTGATTAGTTCTTCAGTGGACATTCAATAATTTTTACTAACAGAAAACTGATTGCTCATCACACCTGTGATTTACTGCTCAACTTGGCAACCTTGCATATCCTGTGGGTCTTTACCTAAACTGCAGCTGTCCTCCATGGTTTTCATCAGGTTTTGACTTAAAACAGAGAATTATCTCCACATTCTTGCAATTCCTGCTTCTGTGACTTTATGCCATGCCTACCATCCTATGCTTTACCTTTGTGGTTATTCACAGGGAGACTTTGGAGTGAGATTGTTACTAGAAAGATCTATTTGCTAGCATTCCATGGTGCCTGCTGTTAGTACCTATGACCCTAGGTTACCCTGTGGGCTATGCTAAAGTCTTGTTAGCTACTCCTTAGGTCAGTACTAAATGATTCTGACATCTGACACCCAAAGGAAAATCTTGTTTCTGACCCCCTAGGTCTTGCAGCAAGAAGCAATATCTATCTACCTCTCACTCTGTGAGGCCTTCATTTCATGACTTCAAGAACTTATAAATATGGCAAAGTGGATAATGACAAGTAAGGGGGGAGGTGTAGAGGGATGCACCTGCTATTGGATTTTTACTGTCATGAATGCTTTTATCATTAGCTAGTTACTATTTTTATTTATTCCAGATCTGTGAAGGTCTAATTCATTCTTGTATCAGTTATGGCTTCTACATGAGGGTTGCCTCTTTTTTCCTCTCATCAAAAGGAAACCTAAAAGAATCTGCCCATATCTGTTTTCTCTTGTCTCTAAACAACTGTTCTACAGAAATGTTTCTTTTTATATCTCGCTCAGTAGTGATTACTACCCTTTCACCTTCACCCAGTCTCTGCTGTAGTATTGTTTCTCTTGTACCGAGCTCTAGTGCCAAACTCAACCTACCAAGAAATATCTACTGGTATACCTCTGATGGTTTACCAGTTTATCTTACATATTTCTAAACTGTTTTCCTGGAATCCAGTTGTGTTACTAAAAGGAAACATATCATAATACAAATGACCAAAGTTATTGACTTAGTAGTTTAGATTAAATATATTTGGTCCTCACAGCAACCTCTATTACCATACAATTAAACTGATAACAATTGAAATATCAGTAACACATAGTAATAATGTAATGACACGTACAACCGACCAACATAATATTAAATGGCCATTTGAATACATGTTTTAGGGTCCTTCACTAATATTGTTGTTTTTTTTCATGGCTGCCATCAGGGTACTAGTGGTTATTTGTTTCAGTACATGCTCTTCTTGGAGCTGCCTTGAGAAACCTTGTGTAAACGACATCTTTAGTAGGAATTTTCATGTGCCTGTCATTGTCTTCATTGGTACTATATCACACACAAATATCTGGCATACACACCACTTTCATAATGCACTAATGAAAGTTGCCAACTGTGATAAATGAAAAACATAATTTTGAATGTAATATTAACTATATAATCTTTAAACAGGATGTTTTAACCAGAAGTTTCCATTAGTTAGAATATACCAGTTGTTGGATATCCATGGTAACAATGACTAAGAAAAGAGTTACCTTGTTCCATTGAACCAGTGAGAGAGAAGATACATTGACATTGTACACCCAAACTCAGCTTTCCACTAAAACTCATATACCATCACAGCATGCATGAGGAGATTAAACCCATGACATGACAGTAATTTACCCCTACAATCTGGATGATGTAACCATCATGTAATGAAAAAAATTGGCTTGAGGGGCGAGTCACATGAACATGCTGTCATGTGGAAATTTGGTTGTTTTCTTGCAGTCATGAGATATTTCAACTAAGACTAGGGTAATGGAAGTGACTTGTCACAAGTGCACATACTTTTTGGTGGGTGA